TTAGAGAATATCAATAAAATTGACAACGCCTTAGAAAGATTTATGAAGAAAAGAAGGGAAAAGACAAAAATCAGTATTATGAATGCGATGATACTCTACATACTCTAGAGATTTTAATAGGGTAATAAGAGAATGATATGAAAAGCTTTATGCTAATACGTTCACCAAGTTGGATGAAATGGACAAATTCTTTGAAAGGTACATTCTATCAAAATTCATTGAAGGATGGGGGGGGGCTGAGGACACATTTGTAATACCTTAATAATAATAAAAAAAGGAAAAAAAATATTAGCGCTTCCATTCTGCTTGGTGAAATATTACCTGCCTGCGATGCTCTGGTTAGAATTACTTCCTAAAAGACATTTTCAATAAATCCTCTTCTGTACGGAAACACGGTAGATAAGCAGTTACCCCATCAAGAGATCAGCCACATCACGAAACGCATTTAAACAAGAAATTCTCCCTCGTGTCACGGGGACCAGGCATGAACTCACGTCTCCTTCGTTTGTATTTCCACCAGACACAGAAGGAGGAGGGCCCCCAGCCCCGGTGTGACAGGGCAGGTGAGTTCATCGACGCCAGAAAGACCAGTTCACCTCTGAGGCTCCTACACAAGCACACGGCCGGCCGGGAGCTCAATAGCCTGCAATGCAGACTTTGCATTTTGGCCATCAACACCACTGTCCTTGACGATTCATGCAAAATCAAGTCAACTGGAAATGGAATCTAACTTAGACACACACTCCCCAATACTGAACGAGGACTTTTTAAGCTCCGCGAGCAAGGGTAGCATATGCCGGGAGATACGACGACAACAACAGAGAAGATACTAGGAATTGTGTCCGATGTCAGCCCAGTGGGGCGATGTCAAGTTCACATGCCGGACAGAACGGCACTTTTATATCCTCAAACGGGTGAAACAGCATCTTATGGCCTGCCATAAAACTGTACTTATCTCCAGTTCACTGGGCTGTATTTCACCCCCAGATTATAAATGTCCCCACGACGGAACGGTCAGAGGGGCCCGTCTTAGCCACCCCGGCTTCTGCCAACGAGACTGCGTTCCTGTCACACGTAACGCGTCACTTCTCCTGAACAACACGTTGAGCAGAATATTACACTTGGGATGGGAGACTTAACTGGTGTTTAATGCGGCCCTTCGCTCTCTCCCTCTCCCCCCAAATCCTATTTCTTAGAAATGAGTTTGATTCCTAACCTATCTCCATGCGCATTAGCCTTTCAAAGGAAGCGTGTGAATAAAAAACGAGGCGGGGGGGGGGGGTTGATAAAATCGCTTCCACTTCCCTGACTGATGCGGTTTTAATGGGCGGAAAATTTCAGGGCTTCGAACGCTAGGATGGCCCTTGTTTTCACAGACCCCGGTTCCGGTGCAAGGAGACAGTTAGCACTTGACTGCATGGATGCGGCGACCTGGGATGCTTGGCGTCTGCGTTATCACTGGCGTATTTCAGCTTAATAGAGCGATCGAGTTCGCCCCAGAGTGGCTCGGTGCCTCCTCCCGCATCACCTGCCTGGAACTGCAAATGCGTTCTGTAAACGCGCCCGCGATGGCTTGTGTGTCCCTGGGGTCCCCTTCGAAAGCCGTGGGGTTTCCCTCCCCGCCCCCTGATTTATGAGATGAAATGATCTCTCTTTTAAAACTGTCTTAAACACACACACACCTCTGGGCGCACATCTGGCGCCTCGTTAATGAGAAGATCTGACTATTTCGCTGTGCAGCCGCTTACGGAACGGGCACCCCGCGCCAACTCTCCTGTTCTGAAGGAACCTTCTCGTCCCAACCGATCCCTGGGAGACCACTAGGGGTCAGTGCCTGGCTGACAGAGCAGCTACCAGGAGCTTCTGAACTTGGGAAGGGAGATTTTGAGGAGCCGCGAACGGTCTGTCTTTCAATGAATGCTCAAGTATCCAAATAAGAGTGGCCTGTCCTAGACTACTTCTTTCCACCCTGGTGGGGGGGTTAGGGGGGTTCATTTCAACCCAGCATTCCAGACACATTTCCCATGTCGCTCCCTAAAATAGCTGCCTCCTTGCACACGGAGAATCCCAACCGGAATATTCTCAGCCCAAGGCATTTGCACGAACCACTCCGCTCCCCGGCAAGTCTCGCATCTTCCCTGGGAGCGGTCGCCTCATTAGCAGATTGCAACATCTCGGAAAGGGTGCCAACATCCACACGCTATTTGTTGGGTATCAGTGTGACTCTCCCTGAGACGCGCTAGCCACACGGAGGCGGAGATGGCAACACAGACCCGAGCAAGGCCAAAGCCAAGGAGAGTGAGCGCCAGGGGCGACTCCATCTGACTTCCTGCCTCGGAGCGCTTTGGATTCGCGAAACCTCTCCTTAAACTCACAGGCGTTTTTTGTAACGAACGAACGGGGGAGGGGGGTGATTTTCAGACAGGCATGTTGGACCCCGTTTCTCCAGATTCTTTCCAGCTGATGTGAGAGAAATATGGGCTCCGTGCTCGCTCGTCTCTGGGGGGAGGAGGGGGGAGTCCAGGAGGGATGGGGCGGGTGAATGAGAGGCATCTGGTCCAGGTATGGGCAACCTCCTGGGGGTGAGAGAGGCCACAGCATCTCCTTCCTCCCCCTCACCTCCTCCTCCATCTCCTCCTCTTCCTCCTCCTCCTCCTCCAGCGAGGACGCATCACCCTCCTCCACAGCTCGGTGGCGGCACCAGTTTGCAAGCGGAGGACCCCAGTGGAAGGAACCTTCCATCCCTCCTCTTTTAAAGGAGTAGGTTTGTCTTTGCTGGGTCTCCTCAGCGCATTGGAGAAGCAACGTCCTACCGCTCTCAGAGCTCCTCACGTCGTCCTGATGTGAAGGAAGATGCTAAGCAAGACCACACTCAGCCAATTCGGCTCAATAAACGAGCGAAAACCAGGCTGGCCTCCGTTTAGTGAGAATTGTCCTTCTCCCTACAGGGATTCCCGCTGATCTCTCTCTCTCTCTCTCTCTCTCTCTCTCTCTCTC